GGGGAATGCGACGGAGCCCTGCCGGCCCCCTCTGCTTGCTTTCCTTCCGAAATAACCAAAATAAAGCCCCGCTGCCTGGCGGACACGGTGCCGGACTCCTCCCGCAGCCCCTGTCCCAGCAAGCAGCAGCCATGTAGGGATGGGGAAACTGAGGCACATGGGGCGGATGAGACCAGGGCTCCCACTGCAGTCGGGGATGGAGGCAGGGCCCTGTCCCATGGCGGGATTGGGGCACACACGTCCCCCTCTGCTCCTCGGACGTGCCGAACCATCCTCCTCCGCGTCCCCCCGCCCCTCGGTCCCCCCTCCCCTGCTCTTCCCCAGGCTGTTCGGACTGCAGCTCCCCGCCTCAATTAGCAAGCGCTCCCTCTCTGACTAATTACTTTGCTACTGTCTTTATGCATTATTATTCTAATGATTATTAATTATTACAATCTTCTCCCATTCCTGCCGCGCCGGCTGCGGTCAGGAGAGAACACCACACGCAGACCCGCTTGTTGCAGTGATTTATTGGCGGAGCTCCCCGCCTGTGTTTAACACCCACGGGCTCCGAGGTGCACCGACACGCACCTCTGTCTGTGTGTGTACCCCATCCCGCAGCCCCCGTGATCCCCCTTTTTTCCCCCCATCCTGCTCTTTTTCCTGTTCTCCCCTTTCCTCCAGGCTTTCCTGCTCTCCCCCACTCCCGCTCTCCAGTGCTGTGTTTGCTTTTAACTTTTTGTTATTGCACCTCGTGGGTTTTTTTGCGTCTGCCCCCGATGACACTTCTCCCCCCATCCCTGGGTGATGTAGGGTCTCGCTCCCACTGGGGGTCCCCGATCCCGACTGCTCCCCGGTTCCCCAGCTGAATCCATGCCCCAAACATCACCTGGTGATCTCGGGACAGGGAGACAACCCCTTTCCTGCCCCAAAACCCTTCTCAGCCAACTCCTCTCCTTCGGAGCAGATGAGGGCTCAGCCCCAGGACCAGCTCAGACCCCCCCAGACCACAGACATCCCCCACAAAGCCCTTTCCCCTGCCCAGGCGCCTGCCCCGGGACCCGGCTGCCAACCCTACAGAAACACCCTCCCTTCCTTCACCCCTTCTCCTCTCACCCCCAGTGTGTCCCACCGGCCAGGCCAACCCCCCAGATGCTTCTTGGAGGCCCGAACCCCATAAATCAAAACTCTGCCGCTCCATCGTGGGCAATATCTTATGTAAAAAGGTGTTTCCAGGGAGCACCGAAGGCTGGAGAATCCTATTACGAGGCACACTATTAATTATAAGGAGTCAGCCCAACCTACTCCAGCCATTTTTTATCCCAGGTCCAAAACCTGATTACTTTCCACCTTCTGCAGACCTTCCCCTTCCGGAAGGAAAAAAAAAAAAAAAAGGGAAAAAGGTTAGAAAAAAAAAATAGCATTGATGTTTGCCGAACAGCTTTTGAAAATCAGTTTATTCCTGGGGCTGATGCTGCTCTGCCGGGGCCCGGGGGGAGCCGGGACCTCGCGGTGGGATTTCCTCAGCACGGTCCCACAGGGGTTATTGCTGGGGGTAGATGTGGACGTGACTGCGGGGTTTGGGGTGGCTCTCCAGGCATCCCAACAAGGAGCTTTGTCCCCTCCTTGCCAGCTTGGGGGGAGCGGGGATTGAGCTTTGGATGTCCCTGGCAGGGACGTGGGGGTGCAGGTTGACCGGGGGACACCCCACCGGGGGTGGGCATGGCCTCAGCTGGTGGGAGGCCCTGCCTCCCTGAAGCCGGAGGCAGGCGTGAGCCCTGGGGGCCTTGTTGGGACTGCTGGGGTGACAGGGACCCCAAACCTAGCTGTGATGGGGACCCCGGCTGCCATGGGGACCCCCCTCTTGGTCGCC